TAACCAAAAGGTAAAAAAAAAAAAAAAAAAAAAAAAAGGGCTTGAGCCCCTTTTCAAGTTCAAACTCCCCCCACAAACAGTGGTTCCTTGTGCTGGCCTGCATGCTTCGTAGGGACATTCTATCCACCAAGAGGAGTCACAACATATGGCAGGGGAGCAGGCATTCCACACACCAGAAGTGTCAAATACTTGCAGTGGTCAGGAAGCAGCAAAGCAGCGGAGCTTGCAGACATGAGCCACTGGAAAAGCAAATATACATACTCTTTTACAGTGTGGATTTTGTTTACAAGTGAGCCTGGAGTGATAGGGTCACTTTAAAGGAAACTTTCCATTACCTTCATAGCGCTTCTCAAGCCCCTGGAGCTTCAAGAGCTACTTTTGTGGATTCACACCCATGTGTTTTTCCCCCCTGATTATGTTTTTTTCCATTGAAATCAATGGAAAAGCATCAAGATACATGTCAATATGTGTTCACGCACATTAATGTGCATTGTGTTACATTTCCAATGCGCCTCGCAATGTAATTTGTATTGAAATGTCAACACACATCAAAACGAGAGTCAAAAATCACAAAGGTGTGACTTCAGTTAAGATTTTGGTTGAGAATATCAAGAGTTGGTCTAAAGCAGGGGCATTCAAACTTCAAAGACCGGTTCACCCTATTCCACCACCCACAACTCCTTATTAAGCAATATAGGTCCTCAACGAAGACATGTAGGAAGTTGCAGGATGCCTTAGGGCAAGGGTATCCCAATGTCAGCCCTCCAGATGTGGTGAAATTACAAATCCCATCATGCATCTGCCTCTGGAAGTTATGCCTGTAGCTGTCAGTGTCAATGTCTAATGGGTTTTGTAGTGTCACCACAGCTGGAGGGCCAATATTTGGCTACCCCTGCTCTAAAGCACCCTGCGACTTCTTACATGTCTTCATGGAAGACATATATTTCACCAATAAGCAGAAGGAGTTGGAATGGGGCGAACCGATCTCTGAAGTATGGCTACCCCTGCTTCAGACCAACCCTTGATGCCCTCACCCAAAACCTTAACTAGATTCACACCGTTTTCTTGCTTGTTGTGTTTTCCTTTGAAATCAATGGTAATGCAAATCAAAAAACACATATCAAAGTGTGCGTTAAGACATGCTTTTTTTTGAAAATTGAGATTTTCATATCAGAGTTTCCAGGTTTTTGGGAGATTTGGGAAGCTGTATGAAGATACTTTCAGGTGCTAACAGTTGCCCAAGTTTAATTTGTCATTCCACTTTAGCTACTTCTATGTGATGATAGGCGGATGTTAAAAGAAAAGACTTGGAACAAAATTGGAATTTTGTTATACTGAGCAAATTCCTTTGTCATGCAGGATGTCTTGTGTAACGTTATGAATTGTTAACGGGGACTGAAAAATACAATCCGCATTCCAAGATGTCAAAGCCTACACCAACAAAGGCTTTCCACATTGCAGCGAGAACTAAAGCAACATCTATGACTAAATAGATTGAGATCAGCACAGCTGGCCAGTGACACAGAGGGCTCCATTTACTGGTCTTGCCAGGAAAAAACATGCAGGCTGTAAATTATAGATCAGCAAATAGATTTGTTTTGGTTGTATAAAAAGGCAGAGGCTCTCCAAATGATTTAATTAGATGTGTTATAATATGCATAAAGCAAATGATTCTGCTCAAACTCCACAATAGCAAGCATGGAACTCTGTGTAGGGTTAAACAATTATTTTATTTAATTCTATGCTGTATAGATAGTTTAGAAAAAGTGGATAAACGCACAATAATATGAGGGTAAAAGCAATCATTTACTTGTTGGCTTTCCTTCTATAGAACATTGTAGCTGTGGATGGCAACATAGATAGTGGTGTTTCATCAGTAAGTGCGTGCACCATTTCTTTAATAGAAGTCACCAGCACTCGATATGTGCAAGAAGTAAAGCACTTTTTATTGAATCGTCGCATGCGTCAAACAGCCATCGTTTCGGGGCCATGCAGAGTCCCTTCTGGGCGACATAGTGACAACAACAAGTATGCAACTTCAGCTTAAATGGTGACCACACAGAATACACCACAGAACCTCCCCATGATGTCATACGGACGTCAAATCCCGCCAGAATTTAAAAGCAAAAATTAGCTTATAAAACGTACAAAAAAAATTTAACAAATTAAAAACACAACCAATATGCCTGAACAACGTTAGTAACTTTGTTTAACTAGAAGTGCTTTACTCCTTGCACATATCGAGTGCTGGTGGCTTCTATTATGGACTGTATCTGACACGGCGCCATCCCGTGTTGTCACTTCAAGCACCAACCTCTTATCCAAGGTCTGTACGCTGTATGCAGTGCAGATTCGATTATCCACCATTTCTTTAAGTCGCATCACACCACATTGTAATAGGTTACCATGCAATGGTTAGATGCGTTGGGGTGCCATTAATAATGGCATCACACCTAACAGTGCAAAATGCGGGAATGTGTACTTTAAAAACAGATCTATAGTTTAGGGGCCCCCTTGTGTCCAAATTGGCACAGCATATTTGAACACTATGGCACACTTACTTAGCAAAATCCACTGCCACAGATGGACACGCCACACTTACACTTGGCATCTTGGTGCCGGGAGTTTACACTGAGATATAAAATGTCGGGAATGTACACCGGGACGCGCATACACGGCTGTAAGTGTACAAATCGGTAATATTGTAGAGGTATACAAAGATGTGAACATGTTCTAAGCAGTCTGGAATTCTATTCCATAAAGCACATGCTGCTTCAACTACACAAACTCAGAAGTTGGGATCACGTATTACGATCAGAAATATTTGCTTTTGAATAACTGTTCGATGAACCTTAATGCTTTACATCCCATGCCAAGTGAACAGCGTGGAAGCAGTCAATTCTAGAGTCCAACAACAGATGCAAAAAAAGATTAGAACTTCAAATTGCATAATCCATTCTTTGCTGAACAAAGAACTTCTGCTGCAGGTGAAGCGTCAAGCACCAAAGACCTGCATGTTTCCTTTACAGCTTTCTGTGGCTGCCAAATACTTTCCCACAGGAGCTAAATAGATTTATTGATACAGGAATGCAAGAGGATAAGATGTCAGGTTCAGCACTGGATTTTTTTGAATACATAAATCTTTAATGAAGGAATCTTGAAGGAGAAAAGAGTAAAAAAAACAAAACATTAAAGGGCGAGTCTTCCCATAAGTGATACTTCAGTTATGGGTAGAGCATGGTCGGTCGGAATCAAATCCTGGCTTCTTATAGGTTTTTGATACGTGACCTTCCATAATTCTACCCTCCTGTCCACCTTCTGTGTCACTTTCTCCACAAAATAAAAAAAAAAAAAAAAAAATAGGATTAGTGAAATCCCATATAGAGCAGGAGCACAGACTTTGGCCCGTGTCACATAAGCGATCCGGTCACTGACAGCAACACACCAGTGACAGCACCACTGCAATGTCATCCCGACTGGCCAAACCAGCAAGATCTTGCACCAATGCTAGCGTGTGAGACTCTACCTGCCAGGCAGCAACACTGCATTAGAAGGCCAGTGCTCTTATTAGTGATCCTATTGCAGGCAAGTTGTTAGTGTGACCCATGAGGCACCCAAGGGATTAAAGAGAATGTCATATGGCTCAAGGCTACTCATACACCAGTAAAAGTAAAATGTGTTTTTTTGTTACCTGCAAGGAATTAAATGAGCACCATTTAGATGTAAAATCGTCATACAATATACTGCAATGTTACTGAAAACAATAAACAAATTACCCAATTGTATCCGAATAGAACAAGCATTTGTGACCTTGAATCTTGTTAAACCTTTTTTTTTTTTTACTGAGGTTAGACCGGCTCAGCAGTAACTTGCTCATAAAAAAAAGATAAAGCACGTTAGGTGATGAAACCATTTCTTGTTCTGCTACCACATCAACTGTTCTGATAATCAGCATGATATACTCAAGAAGACACATCGCTGGCGAGGATTACAGGCACTGGATAGTGCTGGTTTCCATTCTGACTTCTATCACAAGCCAAGTCATATCAATGGATGGGAAGTCAAGTGTTCAAATTTCAATACACGCATCTTCATCAATTCCCTGCCGATCCTACCCCTACCGTAGCCGCCACAAAATACCTGATGCTTCCTGGGTTTGTAGAAGCATGCAACTTCCTCCTGATTAACAGTGCTCAGGTGTAGCAGCCAATTGCCAAGGCCCGAGCAACGGAATGGTGGATCTACTAGCAACAATAACAATTTCAATGAAAGGTAGTTTGAAATCATCCATTTGGGAGATTTGGGGGGGGGGATCAAAAGCTAAATCAAAGTAGTCCAAATTGCATAAAAACTGTCTGCATGTGGTCCTCATCACACATGTCAAAAAGAAGAGGCAAGATTAGATTTGGCCATGTGCTGAACAAGCTACAGGCTTGTGAATCAAAGACAATGTTGATAGCGACGCCCCCTGTATTATTTGAGAGTGGCAACTATGCTCTGAAGTCAGGAGCAGTGCAGCATTGTTGCCACAGAAAGCTGCATTAGGTGTTTTTTTTGTTTTTTTTAATGGGAGGCCATAGTTCCACTTCAAAGAATAAAAATCACTTATCCTCATAGTTGGAGCCGACGTGTGACAATGAAACTGTCACACGTCGGCTCAATAGATCGGGAAGTGAGCAAACACATACCTTCACTCGCTCACTTCTCGATCATCCCCCTGCAGAGAGCAGTGACTGTCAGTCACGGCTCCCTGCAGGGACTCCTCCCCCTCCCCGATCCTCCAGTGCCGAGTGAAGGAACGAACGGGGGAGAGGGCGGGCACAGCTGGCTCTGCCTCTCACGCAGCTGGGTGGATCTCGACAGTAATGTCGGGATCCGTCCCGGCTGCAGCGGTCTCCGTCCCGGCTGCAGCTCGCGATATACTGAGCTTTGGGTCACTTTGAGGACGCTAGTATATGTCTTCCCGTGACCCTTAAGAGAACTATAAAGCAGTAACCCGATTCTTAATTAAACAAGAGTTTTGCACCCCAATAGTTTTTTTTATATACCATTAATGTGTAACAAGGAATACAAAATTAAAAAAAAATATTGGCCGCATTCCGCTTTGTTTTTACTGAACAGACTTTGTGCATTTAATTTCCAAAATTAGATTTTCTGAAGGTGCATTTCTTTCAGTTTTATACAACAGGCTGAAAACAAATAATCACAATTTCTAAAGTGTACTGGCAGCTCCTCCACTGGTTTCTCCTTGGCAGTGTTTTTTACTTTAACATAAACCAGTTCCCTCTGATAAAAAATATTCTGGCATGTGGCATCCAACCCCAAATATTAGACATGTACATTTAAAGTATATCTAAAGCTGTAAAAAAAA